TAAACTCCTAGCCTCCATTGTTAATTTTGAAAGGGTTTCAATCGGATTTCACTAGTGAAAAGCCCTAAATTTTGTTTCTTTTGAGTTTTTTTGTTTCTTATCTCCTTGAAAATACAAGGTTTTATTTGCATTTGATATGGTCTCAAGTTTTGCGAGACTACAATTAAATTCATCGCAAAAAAATTCTTCCTCAAAAAAGTATAAAGCGACGACGGCAGATCCACTCAAAAAGTTTTATGAGACAACAAATCCATAATTTTGAACGGTAATATCTATTTATTTGGATTCTTAGCCCTTTATCAGTTAATTCTTGTTTGATTGTGTTAAATCAGTTTTCACTATCGTTAATTGTCAATTGTAGATATCGTATGACTTTAATTAATGAAATATCGTGCCCTTTAGGATTTCTGTAAAAAATAACATTATTATTATAAAGAATTAAAGTTAAGCTAATGAAAAGTTTTGTAAAGAGCCTAACCCCCATTAGTACAATTCAATACGGGGTGAGAAAGGTAATGACATATAGGGTGACATGTTGCACACTTATGGCACCAAATCATATTGAATGAAGGTCGGGTGACACATGATGTTAGCATGTTGTCCCAATGAGTTTCAATAATATTATTGATTATAGATTGGGGTGACTGTTATCTGAATTTATCTAATTTTATAATAAATTATCTTAATTTACCTTTTTTTTTTTTGAATCAAACCCCAACAGGGACTAATTTTCATTCATAGGGGAATCTGAAATCAACAAAGACGAAATACAATCCGGAAAATTCGAAACCCAAACTCTATTACCTATAGCCCAAGGCGAGTAATGAGCAAGCTCATGAGCTACTTTATTTCCCTTCCTATGAACAAAGCTCCACACGATACTCTCAACCGTGTTACAAACATGATAAATGTCATCATAAATAAGGTGCAAAGTGCTGCTACCCCTCTCCTGCGATTTCAATGCGTTCACCAAATTAATACAATCACTCTCCACCACTATGCGCCTGAACCCGTAGCTTACAACAGCTATAAGGCCCAGCAGAACAGCCATAGCCTCACCAACAGCGGGTTGCCATTGCTCCTCCAAACACCACGCACCTGCCAGCAAAGCTGCCCCCTCCGAATCACGCACCACAACCCCAGTAGACGAGCCTAGCCCCTCCACCGTACCCCCATCAACGTTCAACTTAACAAAGCCACCATCATGTGGCTTCCATTTACCCCTACTAGCTTTGCTCACAGATACACTCGCCACAACATCCCCCTGCAACTCCTTCAATTGCTTCTCCACATATTCCACCGAACGCTTAGGGTCACACGCTTCTTTCTCGAACACCCACTTGTTCCTAGCTGCCCATATAGCCCAGCATAATGACATAAAAATGCCATGATCATTACGAGGGAGCTTATCAATGCAAGAGAGAGCCATGTCTCCAAAGCTCCTAAAATCCCCACTCATATCATAATTAAAACTACTTTCATTCCATATGAGCCTAGCAATGATGCAATCTCGCAAACAATGGAGTTCCGATTCTTCCTCCGCCTCACACAAAGAACAATTAGCTGCTACACTCTCCACCCTCTTACTTAAACCACGGGCTGTGGGAAGAGCACCACAACAAGCCCGCCCGAAAAACAACTTCATCCTCGGCAAGCACGCAGCGTGCCACACCTTTCCCCACACATTCGAAGAGTGAGAGGTGGAAGCAACCTCGTCAGCGTTCAAGTCCCCGTATATAGCCCGGTAAGCCAACCTCACTGAATATTCCCCGTCCTTCTTTAAATCCCAACACAAAGCATCCTCCGGCAACCAAAAGCTAAAAGGAATGCTAAGAATACGCTCCCTCTCAAAGGGGAGAAAAAATGCATTAATCAAAGGAACATTCGATGAGGCAGAAGCAAGATTAATCAGATCACATACTTTTAAATCAATCGGAGCCGCACCTCTTGGCGAAATAACTTTCCTTGACTGAGTATCCGGAATCCAAGGACTATTCCAGACAGAGATATTCAAACCATCTCCAACTCGCCAACTAATCCCCCGCAACACCACCCATTTCGCTCCCCCAAATCCCTCTCCAAGTGTAACTCGGAGAATTCCCCAGCTCTACATCCAAAAAACTACTCTGCGCATAGTACCGAGCTTTTAAAACTCTATCCAACAAACTCTCTGGAAATTGAAGCAACCTCCAGCCTTGCTTCCCAAGAAGGGCCGCATTAAAATATTTAAGATCACGAAAACCCAATCCTCCTTTAGCCTTCGGTTCACACAACTTTTTCCATGCTATCCAATGAATTTTTCGCTCACCCTTCCGTTGTCCCCACCAATAATTAGCCACCAAAGAATGATTACATCACAAAAAGAGGAAGGGAGTTTAAACACACTCATCGCGTATGTCGGAATAGATTGGGCCACTGCCTTAATCAAGACTTCTCGACCCGCCTTTGATAAAAAAACCCCCTTTCCATCCTTGAAGTTTTTACCACAACTTCTCACGAACACCCTTGGTAATAACCCTCTTCGATCTACCAACAACCGTAGGCAAACCAAGATATTTATCATGAATGTCTACAATATTCACCCCTAGACTGTCAGCCAACCCCTCTCTTCTCTCCACCAGAACACTCTTACTAAAAGATACAGTAGTCATTCCAAAATTCACCTGTTGCCCAGAAGCCGCCTCATAAACTTGCAAGGCGTGTTTAATAGCATCCACCTCCTCCGTAGCCGCCCTGGTAAAAATAATACTATCATCTGCAAACAGGAGATGATAGATAGAAGGAGTCGACTGCACAACTTTAATCCCATGAATCTTCCTTGTCAAAAATGCTCTAGACAACAACCCAGAAAGAGCCTCCGCACAAATAATAAACAAATAGGGGGAAATAGGATCACCTTGACGTAGACCTCGAGCCGGAGTAAACTCCCCCGAAGGTGCCCCATTTATAAGAACCGAGAAAGAAGCCGAGGAAACACAATGCATGACTCGGTCCACTCAACTATCTGCAAATCCCATCTTACACATCACAGCTCTGAGAAAGCTCCATTCCACCCTATCATAAGCCTTAGCCATATCAAGCTTCAAAGCCATGTAGCCACTATCACTAGTCGAGCTCTTCATATAGTGGAATAATTCAAAGGCCACTAAAATATTGTCTGTTATTAGTCTACCCGGAATAAATGCACTCTGATTTAACGAAGTAATATCAGAGAGAAAAATCTTTAGCTTATTAGCACGAACTTTAGTAATCAACTTATACACCACATTACACAAGCTAATAGGCCTCAAATCAGTCATTTTATCCGGATCCTTCTTTTTCGGAATTAAGACAATAAATGTGTTATTAATAGATTGCGGGATTATACCACCATTAAGCACATGTAATATCAGAGAATAAACCGCAGGACCAACAATATGCCAGTATGTCTGGAAAAAAAGAGGACACATACCATCCGGCCGAGGGGCCTTCAAAGGGTGCATTTGTTTCAGAGCTCTGAAAATTTCTTCAGAAGAGTACGGAGCACAAAGGTCATCATTCATCTCATTAGTGACTTGGCACTTAACACCTTCGAGATCTTCCCCAAAATCTGTAGGATTCGAAGAGGCAAACAGTTGCTGAAAGTAGCTCACCGGAACATTTGGAACACCCTCATTACCCTCCACACGAGCACCATCATCAGTCATAAGATGTGTAAGTCTGTTTTTTGCACGTCTCTGGGAAGCTTTCCTATGAAAAAAATCAGTGTTCCGGTCCCCTGCCTTCAACCACAAAGCTCTCGACCTTTGGCGCCAATAAGACTCTTCATAATGAATCAAGTCAGAAATTTCCTTCACTATTTTACGACGCTCGTTCACCCTAGCAGCTGATCTGCTTCCCCTATTTAACACACCCAACTTGCGCCTTTTCTTACCCAGCTCCCTAAAAATTTTACCAAATTTTTTCTCATTCCATGACTTAAGCTCATCAGCACACAGCAGCAGCCTATCTTCAAGAGTCGTACCACCAGCCCAAGCGGACTCCACGACCTTCTCACAACCCTCCTCATCTGCCCAAATTTGTTCAAAGCGAAACACTTTACCCCCACCGCTCTTAGCCGTACTAGTCTCTTCATCCAACAAAAGTTTTATAGGAGCATGGTCCGACCAATCTCGATCCAAATTAATCAATTTAGCCTTCGGAAAGCTGTGAAGCCAACTTTGAGAAGCAAGTGCTCTGTCAAGGCGACATTGAATATTATCCACACCACATTGACCGTTATCATAAGTGAATTCGTACCCCGAAAAAGGTACATCCCGTAACTCACACAACTCCACCGCTTCTCTAAAATTTTCCATTTGCCACAAAGCTCTGTCTCTTCCCCCCTTCTTCTCCGACTCCGACAGTATCTCGTTAAAATCCCCAACACACACCCAATCACACGAGATCTCCCCCGCTAGAGAAGATAGCAGCTCCCATGACAAATGACGATTATGAACCTCCGGCCATCCATAAAAACCCGTAAGTCTCCACTCAGAACCACCCAGACCACTCATCACCATGACATCGATATGATGTAAATACATAGACCTCAAGTCTACCCGAACATCTTTCTTCCACAACATAGCAACCCCCTAGACCTACCTCTACTATCCACCGCAACTCCCTCAAAATCCACCAATTTTGCTTTAACTTTAGACATTTCACCACTACTTAATTTTGTCTCTGTCAGGAAAACAAGAGATGGGGCTTCTCTCCGTACCAGATTACGGAGGTTATTAACTGCAGAGGTACTACCCAACCCTCTGCAGTTAATGCTTAGAACACTCATTGAGCTTGGCTGGGCTGCTCAACGACAGCCTCCGCCCCCCGCAATCCAGAAAAAGAATCCACCAACAACACCTTCTTACTACTATTCTCCTCCTCCACCAACCCCTTATCCTTCTCCCGTCCCCTCTTCCCCAAGACACCTAAATCATCCCCCCGCATCACGACATCATAATTATCCCTCCTATTCCCTTTCAGCTTTTACCTCCAACTTTCCCCGAACCCCTACCTTTGGTAGCCTCGAAGACAAAAACCCCTTTATTTTTTCCATTCACATCAAACACACCACTCACCTCTCCTGTAGAATTCCCCACCCCACTCACGCTTCCCTCCTTTCCCACCAAGTCAGCAGACTCCACCACAGCCAACTCATCTCCACTACTCCCAGAATTTTTAGAACCACCTCTCCCCGACTCACTCATATCAGTAACACTCACCACATCAAGCTCTGAAGAAGGCAGCAGCTCTGCCCCCACATTATCCTCCTTCTCCATCCCACTAGTAAAATCCAACCCCTTCATAACACCTTGCCCCGCCTTTAGCTTCAACACCCTATCCTCTCCCCCCGTATCTCCAAGAGGTTTCTGAGCGAAAGAGAGTGATTTAGTCTTAGCTTTAATTTTTGACAATTCTTCCTTAATCTTCTCTCTGCCTTTTCGAGGTGAATCACGCAGCCACAAACCCCACAACTTCTCATCCAACTCCTCATCTTCATCAACATTAGGACAATCCTTCTCCGTATGTCCAAGAACCCCACACTTAAAGCAAAATGTGGCTAATCTCTCATATTTGAACTGCACATAAGTGATAATTCCCTGCTTGTTCTTAATCTTTTGAATCCTTCGCAAATGTTTTGTAACATCGACCATCACCCGAACCCTTCTCGACGTATCCCACCCTAGTTCATCACTCTCCACTTGTATGACATGCCCAATTTTCTCAGCAATCGTACGCACATCACCGTCAGAACGACTATCAAGAGGTAGGTTATAGAGTCTCACCCAAAAAGGGCAGTGTTTTATTTCTATTGATTCAGGTTGTTCAGTCCCACAAATGTCCTTTAATAGAAGCAATTGATTGTCAAAATTCCACGGTGCCCCATCCAACACTTTCTCCTTGTCACGCCAATGGAAAAATTGTATGATGAAAAGGTTATTCTCAATTTTTCTAAACACCACTCCTCGATTAAGGGACCAAATTTGCTTCATAGTATTCTGGAAAGCTTCGAAATTAAAAGATCTTATCGTCATCAATTTTCCCACAAGGGATAGAGCAATTTTTTTATTTATGAGCATCGGCATTCGACCCTCCTAAATCCGCTACATCTTCTTCCTCCGCCGTAATACGCATCTTCTCCCACTTCTCAGTGATCTCGGAATCCATTACAGCCACCACACGCCTCCACTATCCCGCCATAGGGGAGTAATGCTTGCAAACACAAGAGCGACACTCAGACCTCGGTGAAGGGAAACCTTAATTTATTTTAACTTTAATTTAAAATTGATATACATCTAAATTTAATGTAAGTGTCTCGTTTTGCGTAACAAAAATGTATTGATTTGTAAGCAACTATTTTTTGCTATAAAAACGAGGAACTTACGTTAATATTTTGCCAATACCAAGTTCAATTTGGACCTTAAAGGGATAAAATGGCTGCTAAAACCTTATCCTAACATTTTTCGACATGCAAACCGATGAAAAATTGAATTAAGTTGCAATTTACAATTTATAACAATTTTTAGGCTGCAATTTGCAAAAAAAAAAAAAAAAAAAAAAAAAAAAAAAAAAAAAATTAAAAATGATTGCATTTGTAAATACTAACTTTAAATGGCTGCGATTTGCAAATTTCCTTTGAATAAATACTAACTGAAATCAACAAGGAAGTGAGTTAGCTAAACTAAAACTATCTTGATTTACTCAAACAAATCAAATTCATTATTGAAGATCAAGTATCGCCACTAATATAATCAATGCAAAAGACAGTTTCTACCACCAAGTAAGTATTCCCTTAGAGTACTTAAGGTCCCTCGCTCTAGTGGTGGATCTTGACAACATTCTTTTGGGGGGCGAATTGAAGTTCATTGTCTAAACTTAAATCATGGTAGACACTAGTAACAATATAAAATAGTTTAACCTTATTTTTTCAAAGTAGCTATAGAATATTATTTCATACTTCCTCCGTTGTTTATAGTTGACACCGTTTGACTTTTACACTATTCACACAACACGCTTTGACTCGCTTTTGTGGTTTATAGATAAGATAAACATATTCATGTGGGAACTTATTTGAATCTATTCACTGTATATTTTATTAATATCCACTTTTCACAGTGTTGATAACTAGAGATATTAACCGTTAAAACATGCGTTGGCAAGCGTGATAATAGAAACGTGTCAACTAAAAAAAAACAAAGGAAGTATTAAAATATAAAATTTTTTTTTTAAAAAAAAACCATTGTATAATACTCGTATCAGTTCATCATTCTATATACTCCTTAAGTCAGATAAAACTTATAAAAGTGAAAATAAAATACTATAAATAACAGTTAGCAAATACAATATATGAATATCATTGCTAAATCTTTAAAAATGAGTATTGTTCATATAAAATTTAGGATTTTTTTTTTCAAATAAAATTCCAATGTCATACCTACATTGGAGTTTATGCCAAGAAAAAACAAATAAAGGAATACATGGTACATTGGTAGGTCGGGTATTTCTGAATTTTTAGTGCAATAATGGGCTATATTTAAATTGGTCTTTTTTTTTCTTTTTTAAATTGCTTCTTAATACTCATAATTGGATCAGATCTAATAGGGGTCAAGCCCAGACCAGCCCCTTAGAAGATCCGCCCCTGGATCCCTCCGAAGAATTCAATGGCTTCACTAATTAACAGCATAGTACGCCTACTTCTATGGGATCGTATCATGCAAAATAAAAACATTAAACTTAATACTCTAAATTTTTAAAAATCCATTATACGTATTCTTATGGATAACCTCATCATACCCTTAAATGAATTACTTGAATATGTGAAAAACCCTACTCATGCTATGATCAAGACGATGAAATAATAACAATACCAATTATCCCTAATCTAAAGCACAATCAATAAAGAAAGTCAATTAGGTTAATTATTGGGGAATTTAAACAAACAAATATGCATCATTCATATTTGGGTTCCACTTAAATTAATTTGATTAGGAAATTACTCACACATATTAACGATTACCAAAAAAAAAAATCTTAATAGTAAAAACACTAGTGTTAGCCCGGGCTATTCCTCGAATCGATACATCTATATCTATCTATACTTATATATTAAAAAGCATTTCTAAAAACGTTTATGCGCCACATGTGTCACGTCACCACTCAATAATCAATCAATGAAATCGTGCCACGTCACCACTCAATAATCAATAGCACTATGCAACGTCACAATTCAATATTTCATGGCAATGTTAACTAGAAACACATAAAAACGCATAGAAAGAGGTTTGAACCCCTATCCTCATGGAACATATACCACGCGCCTTGCCATCTTAACTAGCAATAATTTATGCTTCATTGAATCCACATAAATGTATATAAATATAGAATAAAAAAAACACCCAAACTAAAAAAAATGAAACTCATATTAATCTTTCGATTCTTTTCAATATTTTAACATTATGTTCTAAATTATTAATACTAAAATATTAAAACACTTAATAATAATAAAAAAAATTAAAAAAAAAACTATCAACATTCCGGGGCAACGCCTGGGTCAACACACTAGTTAAGTATTGTTGTATTGTAATTATCATATATTATATTTTATGTAGATAAATTTGACTTTTATAAGTTTTCATTGTTTTATTTATATAATATTCTTAAATACTCATATTTTATATTTAGGGTTATACTTTATCCACAATATTTCTATAAAAAGTTTTATTTTTATTTGATTACAAATATAGTGTTGAATTTAGAATAATAGTGAAATTGTCGTGCATGACACGGGACCTAACCTAGTAAAACTATAAAAGAGAAAGTTAAGAATAATACCAATAAATTGAATAAACAACGAATAGTTTATTTATAATGCAAGCTTTAAACTTGAAGTGGTCTTAATTAAAAGCAATAAAAGGACGATAAAAAAACAATGATGCATGGTTCTAAGTAAATTAGAAGAGTAATATAAATTTCTAAATTTTCTCCGATTCGACTCTACAAAAAGTATATATAGGTCAAGGATGTAAAGTTCTAAGGTTTCTCGGATTCGACTCTACACAAAGTATTTATACCTCAAGGATTAAAGGCTCAAAATTTGAAAGTATGCCTCCTTCAAACTTTTCCTTCTTAGATCGAGGAACTCTGCCTAGTTGCGTGTAGAAAGTAAAAATTCTAAATATTGCACTTTAGCATATTAGGGCTCAATATTTAAACATAGAACAATCCCTTAAGTGTTTAAGATCAAGGGCGAAAGCCAGGATATGGGAATCGGGGAGGCCAAGACTTGACCTATATATACTTCTTTCATTCCATTATTATTGCAGCAAATGAGGCAGACATGGTTGTAAAACGATAAGAGAGATAGAGAGAGCTTAAAGCACATAACATGATACCAATGTGATGAGGAGAGATAGAGAGAAATCATATGCAAAAAAAATGCAGCATTGTGAAACCTCTTAAAATGGTATTTGTTGCAATATTATTGGAACAAATGAAGTATTAAATTATTAAGAAAAAAAACTAATTCCATTTATCTTTTATATAAGCTAAAAATATCTCTAAAGAAACTCTAACAGTAAATTCTTTTTCGTAACTTGAAATTTCAAAAGTAAAAAAAGTGTTAGAATAATGATACAAGGTAAGAGAGCCTAAAAAAAGGCCATGTGTAAGTGACTAGGGGCATGCTCTGATTTATTGTAAACAACCGAACTGGTCTGATTAGGGTTGAACTGAATTGAGTTGAACTTAATAGAGCTTAAATGAATTGTTTGTGAGAGAAGGAAATTAGGAACTGAACTGAATTGAATTAAGCTGAATAGAACAGGCCACCCATGACTAGTACAAACAACTAGGAGGTACTAAATTAAGTAATTCAAATACCTAGGTGATAAATTCTAAAGACAAAAGCTTGCAAATATTCATCTTAATATATAATGTTTAAGGGACTAATTCAAAAATATAAACAACATGGATTTGGGCCTAGGGTCGGTCCTTTTAAGCGTCGATTGAAGAGCGCCTACTTAAGCATGTGTGAATATGTTTGGCAACCATAGGAAGTAAGACTTGACATTGTATGATTAGTGTTGTTTTAAAGAATACTACAAGAAGGGGGGTTGAATTGTAGTATGAGAGATTAGACAAACTTTTTGCAGAATAAAAATTATAGTTAGCTAAAGGAACTAAGAGATTAACTAAAGGAACTAAAGAATGCAAGAGAGATTTTACGTGGAAAACTCCTTGGCCCTAACAAGGAGAAAAACCACAACCACTTGGGATTTTGGGAAAAGAATCTTCACTATAATAGGGCAAATGATCCTATTACAAGCTAACGACTCAAACTCAAATTCCTCTACGAACTTGAGACCCTGAGGAACAAGTCACCCAACTTGTTACTCTTCTCTTCTCTTTCTCTCTTCTCACTTCTCTGTTCTCTCTTCTCTTTCTCTTCTCTTTCTCTCTTCTCTTTCTCATACACAAACGTTCACTTGAACTTCCCCATTCCCCAAATTACAACTCGAAAGAAAAACAAACTCTAGTTTAAGAACATTAAGAACACTCTAATGAACTTGTGTGGAATTGACACTTGACTCGATTTGAAGCTTGAAAACTTATGTGAGCAAGGGTGAGTTTTTCCAACAGAAACCAATGGCTATTTATAGATCAACAAATGCTTTGGAAAATTCTCTTTGTGCAGCAACACCATTACGCCACTACTCATACCCACTAAGAAGATCATGTTCCTAGAATTAAGGAACCATGAACTCCTCAATGTGCAAAACCATGACTGACATAGAACATGGGAGAGTAAGCCGTAAGTTTTGGAAAACATGGTGATTTTATTTTTCAGAAGATATTTTTGAAAATAAGAAAATAAAATAAAATCTTTTTGCACAAGATATTTTCGAAATTCAGAATAAAATAAAATCCCTTTCAAAAGATAAACGTTTTAGAAAGCAACCGTTTTCCTAAAAACTAGCATGCACAATTTTATCTT